AGTGGCGTGCTGACTCTCACTGTGATAGCTGAGCTGTTACTAAAATAGCTTGCACACTTTTGTTTTCGGTCTAAATATCTGCAGTAACATATAGCAAGCAGGGCAGTATTTGGTTTAGGTGCTTTTGACTGTAAAGCATTAATAAGAAATACACTCAGGGCACTGGTGACCGTGGTGTACAAGAGAATAGTTTGATACTTTCTTTCCGTGTTTATAGAGGTTTATTCCTTGTGACCTTTGTGGGAAGCGCTTTGGTTCTCCCGAAGCTGTGACAGGTTAATGCTGGAGTGAAGCACAGGGCTGGCCTAGTTTCTTCATTAATGAAAATAGTGTAATAGTAGCTGAAGTGACACATGGGGCAGCACTCTGATCGGGTGACCCGTGCTCCTATGCTTCAGCCACGCATTTTCTGGATAGCCTTTAAGGTCAGCGTTTAGGGTGTTGGGTACATGTGTGTGTTTCAGTAGCCTGTCAAGGAGACAGGCTATGTGTGTATGCCCCTGTTGATGACAGCAGTTGTATATAAGGGAGCAATAGTAGTTTGAACTCTCAATGTAGTGCAGCTCTCTGTAATTCAGTTTTGCAACTGAAAGTAGGGAAAAACAACATATAGGATCAGCTGGTTTTCATGGAGTGGTGCCTGACAACTTCTGTTGCAAATAACTGAAACGGCTGCCTGCTATTTAGATGAGAGCTGGTCAGGCCTTTCAATAAATAGTAAATTAGGCAATGGCTGAATGGAAAGTTTATAGTCTTCAGGTCACTTGTGAATTTGCTGCGGCACCTGTAAAATGGAAATCTTCTTTCAGTGTCTGACTCACAAACAAAAAATCACAAAACATAGACCATTATGAAAGAAGAGTGAGATATTTACAGATGCTTATAAAGGTCTGGATTTGATCCCTTCTCCTTCTGTACAGTTTCAAACGTATTCCACCAACTCTCAGGTACTGAGTATTTGGGGTGCTGTGCAGCTCTCCTGTTGTACACAATCAGCAGGGTATGGCAGAGGTGTTTGGCACTCTGATGAGAAGCTGAATAACCCATCAGAAAGTAAGTTTCGGAGTCTCTTGGTTCAAGAGGGCTCACTCCTAAGCTTGGAGCTGTTTTGCTTTTTAATAAGATGCTTCACCGTAACACTGAGTGAGAACTGCTCGAGGCTGGTTGTTGGAGCCCTCCCAGGGAAGTGCAGCACCTGGTTTGGTGAATGTTGTTTTTAAAACAAACAGCAACAAACCACCCCAGCTTTCATACTGGATCAAGAGGGAGGCAGAGTCAGAAAGGTGAGTGTGCTCCACCCCAGTGTGCTCTCCCACTCCTGTGGGGTGTGTGGCTTCAGGCTTCTTTAGGCACAAAGAGGACTCGGATCTCCAGTGTGTGATGCACATCCTTGCTGCCTGTCATCGGATAAAAGGGACTCCTTGCATCACATCTGCCTTTTACTGAAGATCCTCTCTTCTGTTGTTCTCTTTGGTTTTCTTTCAAGTGCCTGGAGGTGCAAATCTTCAGTTTAGATCTAACCATGTTGCTCAAAGCCCCTCCTTTTTGTGCTAAGAAAAACAGCAGATGAAAATAAGGATTTTTTTTTCAAGTTGAAAATGTACATATTTATTTAGCTGCTCTTGACATCGACATCTGTGGAGTTTGACACTTAGCCTCAGAGCTCAGATTTGCAGTTCTGTTAGATGGCAAGTTTGTTGGTGGGTTATTGGCTTTAAAACACAAGAAAAGCACTGCGGGCTTGGAGCAAATAGGCAAGCAGCTGAAACCAAGGACACCAATAAAGAGCAAAAGAATGTCACTAGGAAGAAACAAATTCTTTTCTCTGCATAGCTTGTCTAGGTTCTGTGATAGGTTTTCTATTGTCTTGGTTAGTGTAAGGCTAGAAATGCTCTGTAAAGGTTTGAAAGGCAGACTTGTGCTTTATATTAGGCTGTGAGAATTAACTTGAGGTGTAGCTGCCAATGTTTCTGGTTCAGAGATGGAAGCACTAACTCAGGTGTGAGACCCTCTTCTAATCCTCTGTACAGTTCTGGACACTGATGTACAAGAAGGCAAATTTAAACCGTGAAGAGGTGTAGAGAAGAGCTGTGATGGTAAGAATGGAAAGATCCTCATTGAGAGGAAACTGAATGGACACAACCAACCCACTTAGCTCAGCAAAGTGAGGTCTGAAGAAGCATATGAATTCCTTCTATAAATACTGTGGTGAATAATAACCAGGAAGGGACAAGAACTATTTAAACTAAAGGACAATGTTGGCACAAGAACAGCTAGGTACAAGCTGAC